GCTTTTCGTCTTTTCGCTTCGTTCTTTTCTGTCCGAACTGTTGCTCCGCTTCCGCTTGGTGATGCCCTCGACCTCGCGCCGCAGCTTGCCGCGCACCAGGGACAGGATCTTGCCCAGCTTGTTCTCCCCGCTCCCATCGCCTGCATCGCCCCAGAAGGAGTCTGCAGGTCGCGAGTTCGTCAGCATTGCATTGAGCTGTGTGCGGTGTGTGTGTGGGTGTTACCGCTTCGTGTGTGGTAGAAGATATCGGCAAAGCCCGTGCTGAGGAGCGTCTCCTGGATGTCCTTGTGGTCGGTGAACTTGGCCAGCGTGGCCTCGTACCTGCGAGACGACCAACGGTGAGGGCACAGACAAAAAAAAACTGCGGCAGAGGTGCGAGGGCTTGGGCGTGTGTACATGACTTCCTCCTGCTTGTCCTTCCAATCGCTGCGCGGTGGTATGTCCTTGTCCTCGCCCATCTTTTTGGCACGCAGCGGGTCTGCCGCCTTTCTAATCAGCTCCTCCAAAGGCATCCCTGCGAACTTCTGCGCCTGGAAGTAGTGCTCCTGCGAAGGCCCCCGACAAGGAGAGGGATTAGGCAGGCACACAAGACACGACACGACACGACACGACACGACACAGCGAGAAGAGAGAGGAGGGGGCGTACGGCGGTGGGCCACTCTTTGCCCTTAAGGGTGACGGGGTGGGGCGAGAAGGTGGAGAAGCAGCCGTAGGTGGCCCCGCGCTGCGACGAGAACTTGATCACCGACGGGTTGGCGCTCTTGGCGGTGAATAGCGAATTGCTGGGCTTCTCCTTCTCCTTGGCCAGCCGCGTCTCGATCACCTTGTTCAGCTTCTCCTCGCCGCCGTACTTCTTCAGCATCACCCGCCGCACCTCCTTCCTGTGTTGCGCGTAACACAGGCGAGTCGAGTAAACACCGGCCAGTCGACGGAACTTGATCACCGCCGTGTGCGTGCGCGTGTGCGTGTGCGTGTGCGCAGTGGGAACCGTACTTGAGGAAGAGGCGCATGGGCGGGCCTTTGGGGTTCATGGGATTGGGACGGGTCATGAACCGCAGGCTCTCGAGGTCCTTCTCCGTCGTACCGAACTCACTGCGATCCGTGTGGTGCGCGCAGTTGTGTGTGGTGTGTGTGTGTGTGTGTGTGTGTGTGTGTGTGTGTGTTGAGCGTACACATCTCATTATCACAAAAATGGAAGAAATGATGGACGCGCACCGCTTGGCGCCCGACACGCTGATGGTCTCCAAGTCAGGATCGCCTCGTTGGCACTCGCGGCAAACGTAAACCTGAAAAACGGTGAGGAGAGCGCCAGAGGTGGCCACGCCGGCAAGGCGAGGACAACTGGAGTTGGGGAGCAAACAGGCTCTCTTTTTACCTTGGCGATGTCGTGGTAGGCCTTGGTCGGGGCAGCACAGCGGCAGCATGGTCGCTTGTTGGGGTCGTCCGCTGCGTCGTTCTTCTTTTTCGGCACTCCACTGCCCGGCAGTCCACACACACGTTTGGCCAAACACCCCCAAGAACGATTTTAGTTTTACAAAGCCTCAGCTGTGCCAATTAATTAATGATCAATAAATTTAGCAAGATTATCTGGCCCTGCGCACCTGGTTGCAGAGCCGCGTCCAGCAAGTTTCTTCTTCAACCTCTCTCGTGCGCTCGACATGTCGATCTCACAATTTGTTTCGAAAGAAAACGATCAATGCGCAACTGTTCTTGCCCTTCGCTGATTGCGGGAATGTGACGAATGCGCCTACTTGTTTTCACACGACATTTCGGCTAGATTCGGACTGGTCGAAGGTTGGCTGCGTTTTATGTCTATCCTCGTGTGGATCGTCCACACGGTTTTTTATGCAAGGCTGTGCAGTGTGGTGTTGTCTTTTGGTTCTCAAATTTATAGAGAAAGCAAAGAAGGCAGAGAGGGAGAGGGAGAGGAAGCGAAAAACGAAGAGCAAGGGCAACTAAAAAGTATGGTCTCCCCCGCCGGGATTTGAACCCGGGTCGTCCGCGTGACAGGCGGAAATGCTAGCCAACTACACCACAGGGGACTTGTTGTTCTTATTCCCTCCCAACTAACATTGACCAAATCGATGAGAGAACCATGCCAGGAAACTCACTTCACAATGCACCCAATCTCATTCTCTCCCACAACAAGCCACAATAGATCCAGGCTTAGTAAGCCACTTCCAAGGGGGGAGTAAGGGAGGTTCTCCTGACAAATTTGGCCAGAATGTGCTTTCATCCCAAACTTGTGGTCATTTGAAATGAGAGGTCACAAATGACCATGGAATTTTTGTTGTGCTAAAATCATGTGAGATTTGACATTTTTGATTTATAGGGCAGTTTGGAAGATTTGGATCTGCATGTGTGATTTTGACATGCAAGACTGCTGCATATAAGTGATATTGAGAGACTTGAGATGAAAATGATTTCATAAAAACTTGGAATTTGTGGAGTTAAAAGTGATTTTAGCAGTGTGAAATGGAGTGGAATTTTAACTTCAGGAATAGTGCTCTAATTCAGCACAAATGTGAAGAATGAAGTTCTGTCTGTGAGTGCAACTGACTGAATATGGTGTGAGGTTGTACATGAACTGGAAGTGAGGGCACCATGTTGGCCACTGATTATGGAATTGATGGAGGGGGTGAAAGCAAAAGCAAGGTGCATTTTGAGGTTGTTCCAAGTAGCACTGACACAAAACAAGGTAGAGTCAGATTTTACTTTGCGCCAACATGTCTGTGATAAACAAAGAAATGGTAGTTCAAATGCATAGACATCATGTACACATATGTGATAGAGTAAGCATCCAGTTTTACAGTTTTTGTCATCATGTACATGTACATGATAAAACTTTTGAGATGGGTTGGAGTGAGCACTTGTCATGGAGGTTCAAAAGGTACATCAAGAGGTTCGCCCAGTCAGCCCAACATGCCATATGTGGGGCGCTGTAACAAACCTCAGGTGCTGCGTGCAATACACAACACCAACAACTTACTTCCTTCTTTTTCCCCTCCTGAGTGGCTCATGATCAGGCACTTCTTCAGTGCAGGTTGGGCTAAGGTGACTGGAGTCTTCATCCAGATCAGGCCAGTCTTTCTGCATGCTAAGAAGCCCTGACCAGAGCACAGGTCTCATCTGGTTGTTGAGATCCAGTGAAACATCTGCACACATGAGGGAATTGTAGGAGACAGAGGTGGGTGGGTCAGCAGTCAAGTGGTAGGACCCATCCATTGCTTCATCCAGCCAGTCTAGGAAGATGTGTGCATGGGTAGTGTGACTGACCACACCAAGCCACACAGCTTTCTCACCAGTAATTGCCACAATGGCTCCATCATCTGGCTTCACTGATGTCAGCTCAAGTGTAGCACTTCCAGTGAGACTGATGGAAGCATTGATGGGCCAATCCAATGGCTCCAGGTCAGAGAGAAGGTCATTCTGAGCATGTTTGTACCCATAAACCTAGCCAAATGGGTCACTGGTGAGCTGCTCTGGAGGTGGCCTATTGAAGAGGGAGACAAGATCCTGGTAGGATTTCTTCATGGCCTGGGCATTGTTGAGCTCAGTGAGGGCAGAGAGGGTATCCTTGAGGATGGTGGTATCAAGCTGAGCTGGGAGAAGAGGAAGGGGAGAGTCAGAGGGACAGAGGTTGAGGAAGGAATAGGGACCCATCCATGGAGAGGCAGAGGAATGGTAGTCCTTCATGAACATCTGCACATCTTCTTTGTGACAGGAGAAGTGGAAGACATGAGGCCTGGAGGTTCCCTGAACACCACAGATATAGGGATCCAGCCAGGATTTGATAGCCCAGCACTCAAGAAGGAATATAGGCTCAGGGTGAAGGTGGGGTGCAGAATACCAGTCCTGCAGACCTTGCTTGAAAGCCTCAACAGTCAGGACCCATGGATTATACTTCATGCCAATCACAAAGGTTGAGAACATCTGGTTGATATCCTCATGGGTGTGTCCCACAGGCAGGAAGGATATGGTGATTGATCAAAACACCTTGTTGAACACCAGCCAGTGGCAGTAGGCCAGCATGTACTTGTTCTTGTTCTCCTGGCTGCAGTTGTCAAACTGTAGGTAGAGAGTCAACAGACAAAGTCCTGCTGTAGGAATAGCTAAGTGAAGGGTGAGGTGATGGTGCAGCAGAGACACTGCAAAGTCAGGACCACAGCCAAACTGGCCCTGGTGTAGGTACAGGGAGCAGTGGTGAAGGCCATGGTTGATAAATCCATGAATGCCAAGCTTGTAGAGGTGAAGGTCTTTCCAGGCCAAGGGCAGAGGCACTAGGAGAGGTAGAATGACGTCAGTCAAACTGTCCATGATAATCAACAATGTCACACCAGGATCAGCAACAGCCTCCTGTTGGTGGAGGTGATCTGAGTATTTCCAGTAGAGGTGATCCTTGGTCATGATCATCAGCATGTAGATGGAGGTCAAGTTGGGAGCATGACAGCCATACTGGAGTAAGGGAGAAGGTGAGCAAAACAGGTGATGAGTATCACATACACAATAAAAACACTGGTGATTTATGGTAGTTGTGAGCATGATTAATGAGGATATTCTATCATGTATGCATATGTGATAGATAAGGGAAGTAATACCATGTTGGTGTACATGGTTATCCATGCGCTGGCCTGAGCTGTAGTGTCCATGGAGGTCCTTCCAGTTCAAAGAGTATCCATGATGGAGAAGTTGGCCATTTTGTTCTTGGAGATTCTGTAAGCAAGCATGAATGCCTGCCTGCAAACACACTACTGGCGTAGTGAGGAAGCTATCTCCAATGAGCTGTAGGATGGACAATACCTGATGATGTAAATGGTAGAGTTGATGGTGGAGTGGTTGGTTCTCCATCAATGTCCTCAGCCATTGGCATGAAGCTGCCTGGGTCATGCTGAGATATCAGATGCAGCATGCTCATATCTGTGATACATCAAACTTGTGCAGACAGAGTGCAGAACAGCAGGGACTTGCAATGATCCAATTAAAGTCCAATGCCTCAACTGTTGAAAGCACTTTCACTGCTGGCTGTGGTGTACAGTGGTCCACTGAATCCATGATCTGCTGGCTGGATGTAGCCAGCTGACCAGTATCATCACCACACACATCCAGAATGAGAGATAAAGGAATCTCAAGTACTGGTGTTGTGGTGAGATCACTTAGATCCTCAGAATCACTCCCTGAGTGTGTGTCAGGGATGTCATATCCATTTTCTAAAAAAGGGTCAAAATGCCTGTAAGAAAAAAGAGATGATTTTAGACAGGATAGTTATTGTGTATGTGTATGTGACAATTTTGTGCATGCAAGTGGAGAAATGAAAATGATGTAAATGTAGTTAAATCATTGTGTATGTGTATGTGATGATAAAATAGGAATTACAACTACATGTTACATATTGTCATGATAAATAGATTTTCACTTGGTACATCAAAATTTTGATAAAGAAGGTCAAGAATTACAGGAAAAATCAAAAAGAAGTATGGGACAAACCAGGTATCACCATCTGATGCTTCCATGGGTGAGCAGTTGAGAGATGTGGTGGGATGAGAGGGTAGGATAAGAATTGAAGTTAGTGTCAACACAAACCAGTCTACCATCTAACCAGCAGCCAATGACATCTCACCCATGAAGACAGTGAAATTTCAGAGCAGGCTGTCACCATTGGTGGCCTTGAGCCTAACACTTTTTAAGAAATGTCTGCAAAAAATCTCATTGGTTGAGCGTAGTCCTTTTAAGGCTGAACATGGTACAATGGTCATTATTTTTTTCCAACCTACACACAACAACATGAGTGACAACCTTACCCAGTCCACAAGTGGCATTCTGTCCATGGTAATGACCTGCCACAATGCAGCTGAGCTTGCCAAGTGGATGGTCAAGCAACTGGAGTGGAAGAAGTGGAAGGAGAGCAACCTCAAGAAGAAGAGCCTTGGTGAACTTCAAAACATGTGCATGGTATGTCAATAGCACAGTTTGTTTAATGAAAGTAGTGTGATTTAATGGAATCATGTGTCTTCTGCTTCAGAATTACTTCACAAGTGTGGCAGAGGTGGAGAAGAACAAGGCAAAACTGACTGAATTGGTATGCACCATCCCATTGTGTATGTGTATGTGATGAAATCTTATTAGCATTTATAGACACAATTTCATTGTGTACATGTATGCAATGAAATATCATTTTAAATATACAATACAACTAATTTATGCCATCCTTTCATTTCACAGTGTTGTTTCATCATAATAACAGTTGTTTCATTATACTCCATATTTCCATTCTATTCAACAATATTGACTCTTATAATCAATTATAACCACCATTTTATATAAGTAATATATCACATACACATACACAATAGAACAACTGATATATTCTCATCAATGAAGCTCATTCTTGACTCTCAGCAGACCATACCTGAGACTCAAGAGCAAGAAGCTGAAAAAAAATAGCACCAGTGGATGTCACAAGATTTGCTTGGAGCACCTGCTTGTGGTGTTGGCCCTTGCCAAATCTGAAGAACCCATGCCAATCACGCCCCTCTATCTTTGCAATCACTTGATTTCCAATCCAATTCTGCTTCATGTCCTCAAGCACATCTCAACTGAACAGCACAAGCAGATCCAAGCAGGCAACAAGTACAAGATCAGCAAGGATGGTATGCTCCCCACCAGTATTTCTTATAACTATCCCATTGTGCTGACTGTACTCTCTTCCAGCCTTCAAGGAGCTCCTCATTGCCTGCCAGAGATGTGTTGAGTTCCTGAGCAAGGTGAGAAAGGTGGCTACACACCTCATGGATAGGGACTTCATCCACCTCAAGAACAAGGTGGCTACTGGAGAGTGGGTATGTTCTCCTTTTGCATAGTTCTTTCATCATGTATGTGTACACAATGAATTGTAGTCAATATATGCTCCATTATTTTCATCATGTACACATACACAATGAATTGCAGTCAATATATGCCAATCTAATTGCTTGATTTACATTAGGATCATCACATTGCCTGTGACCAGGAGCAACTTCTTCTGATCCTTAGCAATCCACACATCAAAATCAAAGATGTTATCCAAGAGTTGCAAGAGAGGATTCAAAAGGAGAAAGAGGAGAAGGAGAAAGCTGAAGAAAAGGAGAAACATAGAGCGAAGGCTAAAGGTAAGAGGAAATCCACTGACTCAGCAGAAGAACCTTTTGAGCCAGCACAAACACACAACAAAACCAGATCCAACCAGAAGCTCCTCCACAAGTGCATCAAACAGCTCCAGGTCACTCACACAAATCCCAAGCTAGTTGACATCATCCTGTGTGACATCTCCATTGATGCATCCACTTGCCACTGGGATCAGCACAGGCTGAACCAGATGATGGGTTACACCAATCCAAATTGACATGTTGAAGAGTCACTGCTGGTCCAGGACATTGCCAAGATTCCCAAGCTCATGGCCTACGAGAAGCCCTCCCTCATCAAGAGGTGGAACCTGAAGTGGGTCCACATTGCTCCTCAAGTGCATCAACTGAGTATGTATTTTGCTCATGTAACTTGGTGGCACATGCTCTTCTCACCTGCTTTCCTACCAACAATAGGTCGTGTCTTCTATCAGCTTGTCCTCACTGCCTACGCCTCAAGCACCGAACTGCAAAGCATTCTCAACTCTCCACTTTGTGCTACTCCACTTCATGCCTGCTTCCATCTCAACTTCAGCTACCACATCCATTCTTCCACAGCATCAGCTCCTAGCACCCCTACACAGGTTTTCATTCACCCATGCCCTTTTTTTGTCGCATACATGTATGCAATGAAATATATCACTGACTCTCAAAATCAACAGCAGTCCCAGCTCTCCACAACCCCTCACTTGGAACCATTGCACAAGAGAAAGCATTGAGATAATGAGGATACTGACACCCATGCCCACAGATGCAGCAGTGCCCACAATGACTGCCACAAGCACAGCTGTGGATTGTGCAACAAGTGCCACAAGAGCAGGAGCCAGAGCAGGAGCTGGAGCAGGGACAGAAGCCACAACTCTGACATTGACCAATTGCCTGACCTTGGGTCACTTTCCCCTTTCCACTCTGGTTCTGATGTGGATAGGAGTGAATACTAAACTCTGTCTTTCCAATCTTTCCAACTTTTAAAATAAACTCCTTTGTTCACTTCCCAATTCATCAAAAAAAGCTGCCTCCTCTAGGTGTGTGCTCAATGACAATTGCCACCATGCCAATAAAATAAAGAACACTGGCTACCCCAGTAATCCTCACATTATGCCAACCACACCAAACTAATTTGACTTTGACTGCTGGCCCTGTTACAGTATCACATCTCTCATTATGATGGAATTTTGATCTGCCATATCTCAAGATGCATCCAATTTTGTGATGTTATTGTTAAAATAAAACCATTTTTGTGTTATCAAAACCATTTTTATGAGCTTAAACTCACAAACAAAATCACTTTTCAAAATGACTGGACCTCTCATTTCAAATGACCACAAGTTCCCACCTCTTTGGGCTGTTCATCCCACACAAATAAATAGCTCTTTGGGAGCAGTCCAACAACAAGCACCCCACCACCATGTACATGTGCCAACACCTCTTGCCTGAGACACACCTATGAAAGCATGATAGGTCACAACAGGAATGAGCAGGTCCCTCACTACCACCCATGCCCAAGTGAAGTGTGTGCCCTGTTGTGTCAGATGCAGACCAAGAATGTGAGCCAAAGAGGATGTGATGTGCACCATGGTGCCCAAGTTGAGGTACCAACACTCTTCTTCTTTGTGCAGGGTGAGCACTTGTTCTGTTGCAGAAAGTACCATTTTGGCTTCAGTGCTGTTGTCCCTAGTGGTGTTGGCCTTGACCATGCCTGCCTTGTCAGCCTTACACTTGCAGCAGTTGCCCTTGAGGTGGCTGGGCTTGCTGCAGTAGTGGCACTTGGCTGTGGTCCTGGCCTCTGCCTTGCCACAGGCCTTGACAGTTGCTCTGGCCTCCCATGGCTGCCTTGCTGCTCTGGTGTCTGCTTCTGTTGGCAGAAGTGCTGATGGTGCTGTAGTCAGCTACAGTTTGTAGAAGACAGTGCTTGGTGACTTCATATGTGCTCAAGTTGAGGGCTCATAACCTGTTATGATGGTAGAGTGCTAGTGTGTAGAGTAATACAAGAGTGAGTGTCTCATGACCTCTCTCTCAGCCTTATTCAATAAACATCATATATAATATGTCATCACATTTCTGTGGACATGAGGTTGCACAGTGAGATTGGGGTAAAGGTGCACTCTCCAATTGGCACTTTACTCATGAGTGTTAACTCACAACAAAGAAGGCCAAGCAGGGCAGTCAGGTCACCTGCATGGGCTTCCTATAAGTCAAACTTAAATACAAAATATCAATGATTTACTACATGGGTGGATGTTGTGCAATGTACACCTTGGGGAAAACAAAAACAATAGTTGTTGCTGGTGTAACAATGGTGTACATGTGTGTGAAGGGCTGAAACAAGAAGTGTGGTAGCATCACCTAGCCAACTAAACTACTTGATAATAATAATTCACTGAAGGCCTCCAAGAGTGCCAAGGAGTAATATTAAAGTTTAAACTGTCCAAAGGTAAGGACAAGCAAGCATGGCACACTCCAACCAAGCTGCCACACTCACCAAGGCTCTCATAAGCCTCATCAGCAATACACAGAGTTATGATGAAGTGTGTGCCTACATGGCGAGCCACAAGTCGCTCAGTGACCCGACCAGTATCCCCCCCCCCAAACCTCTCTACTCTACACTTCTGTACACTACTACTGGTCAGGCGAGGAGACTGAGTGTCTCATGGTCATGCATGCGCAGTGAGGAAGCGTGTGGTGAGCGGACAGGCAGGCGACTACTGCACCCCACTCATCACAGCGTGCATCATGGGCAAGCTGTGCATCCTCCAGTATCTGCTGGAACAAGGCGCCAACCCCAACGTCCCGTGAGACATCAATGGTGGGCGCCCCACCTCAAACGCCATTCCTTAGCCTTTTTGTGTGGCGCATGATCGTTCACTCGCTGATGCAATGGACATTGCAATCATGTCTCAGATCAGGGGCCATGCCACTGCATATCACCTCCCAGTTCAAGCAGGCCAACCTGTCCTTTCTTGAGGAGCTGCTCCATGCAGGCGCTAACATGAACAGCAACTCTCTCAGCCGAGGTACAGCCACAACCAATGCATGAGTCCATTGATCAAGAATTTTATGCACCACTACCACAGGCACGCCTCTGCACGCAGCCATGCAACACAAGTCACTGAAGCATGTGCAAAGGCTGGTGGAGAGTGGGGCGCATGTGGATGCCACCAAACTGAATCCCACAACAACACCACTGCTCATTGCGGCATTCACCAACCAGGTGGCAACTGCCTCATACCTGCTCACCAAGGGCACTGACGTACATCAGTCATTGTGAGAAGTTTCAACCACATTGCCTCCACTGCACACCATTTACTCAGTCACTCTCACGTCCCATGTGCTTGCAGCCAAACAAGGCACAGAACAACAAGGAACATATGACTCCACTCACGGCCGCCGCCCTTAATGGCGACCCAGCCATGGTTAAGCTGCTGCTGGGCGCTGGTGCCAATCCTTACTTCATGTGCATCTCCAGCTCTTCTCTAGCAATCCTGCACTCATGCTGTACCTGACATTGAATGTGGTGTGGGCTCACGCGCAGATGCCCAAGAGGAAGTACACCACTGGTTTATGCATGCAACGCACCATCAGCAAAGGGAGCCAGCATTAAACACACACTCACAGTCATGCGCATCTTGCTGGATAGGGGAGTTACAGCTGGAGCAGGGACTCATGGAGCACAACGTGGCCGCCACCACCGCCGAGCGAAAGTCGCCATCTCCCAGAGTCTCTCTGAGTCTGATGGACATCCTGCAGCACTGTAAGTCCAGACGTCAACAAACAACCACTTTCTAGGAATGAACACTCTCTGTTCTGTTCTGTCACAAACAAGAGCGCACCAGGGGCTAAGCCTGGTCCTCTGGCACAGTCTCATATTCATCCCAGTGTGAGTGTGTGTGATAGCTGACCTTGCAGTAGACATGGTTGCTGCACCACACATGCACACACACACACCACAGTGGTTGGCAAACCAGCCCCAATTGGTCAGTTGTCCTCAATGCAATCAATCACCAGCACGCCAAAGCCCTGTGCAGCACCATTGAGCTTGTCCTTGAACTCAGCCTTCATTGTGCAAGACACATACTCACAATGGATGATGTTGTGATCATTGACAACATTGCATCTGAAAATGTAGATGTAGTCCATGTTGTTATGCAACACAGACAGCAGGACCTTTAGGTTCTGCACAACAAAGTAGATGTCAATGCTGCAGTGATGCAACAATGCACACACCTGCACCAGGACATCCAAGCAGGTGTCATGGGGCAAGAAGAAGCATTAATCCAAGATGACCAGACAGTGTTCCTGACAGCACTTCTTCTTGGCCCCACACAGCTTCAGCAAACAGCCTCAACAACAGTGCATCATCATAGCATTTTGTCACCATGCACTCTAACCTTTCATCATGGTACATTGACACTGTAGTGCTTCAAGCATTGGTGGTGTTCACCTGGCTTTGAGTTGGTGAAGGTGAGGGTGCTCTGGTTGTTGCAGAAGATTGGAATGTGCTTGTGTTGAGTGAGTCTGAGGTTATAGAAGTTCCCAAGGAAGATGGCATGCTTGATGTCAGCCTCAATGCTCTTGGTTGGAGTGGTGGTGTCAAGGTTCTTGATGTTGTTGAACACAACATTGCATGTCTTGAGGACCTTGCTGCCAACAAGCACTTGGTGATGGCTGGCGTTGGTGCATGCTGGGCTGAGGTAGATTCCAAGGCAGGTGCAGGCTGCCAGTTTATTGCAACCAACCAGGTCTGTGAGGACCTGTACACTTGTGCTGAAGTGGTGTATGTTGCTGATGTCTGGTTGTGGCCTGTGCTGGTTGAGCCAGATGTCAACCAGCATGGCAAAGTTGTTGGCAGTCATGGGCAGACAGTTGTTGATGGCAAATGCAGCAAGTGTGGCTTCTCCCCAGAATGCCAGTGTTGATGAGCATGCAGTGGACCATCTTGATGATGGTGCAGTTGAAGTGTTCTGCTACTCTGTTGTGCTCCAGTGTTCATGCTGCTGTGGTCTCATGTGTGATGCCTCTGTCAAAGAGGAACTTGGCCATGGCTGCACTTTTGTACTTGCCACCTTGATCACTCCAAAGTGCTCAACATTGCCACCCTTTTGGTGCAGTGTTGAGGTAGTGTTGAAGTGATTTGAGGAGCTTGTGCTTGCTGTAGAGGAGGCAGATGGTGGTATATTGGCTGAAGTCATTGATGAACAACATGTAGTATTGCTTGCCCATGGGTGTGGGAATGGGCAGCAGTCTGCACACATAAGTGTTCACCTGTTTGAGCAGCTTCAGTCAGATGTAGTTGTGAGGCCACTTCTTCTTACATGTGACATGTGCTGTGGCGCCCAAGTTGAACAGCCATCATGAGGTCATCCTCAGCTGTGTAGCTAGCTGACCCTCCAGGTGCTGGATGGTGTTGTCTAGTTGCCTGAAGTAGGCATCAAGGGTCTCACTGGGTGCATGTCATGTCCTCATGAACCACCTGAGGTAGATGACACAATAGCCAGCTGTCTTGGGCCTGAGCTGGGCATTAAGCACAGCCATCATAGCCCTGGGGTCCGTGTTGGCAGAAGCACAGATGGGACAGAATTGCATGTCAAGGCACAGGTTGATGTAGCCAGCTGCTTGCTGCTTCCTGACCTTGTCCTCCAACAACTCCTCCACTTTGTATCATCATCCACTTCCTCATTCTGGCCAAAGGTGACATCCCAGAGGTATCATGTCAGAAATGGGCATGGTAGCCACCCATGCTCCCCTCACTGCACCTGTTGATCAAAGTATGCTAGTGGCTAGGGGAAATAAAGTGTGCTGGGAGAAAAGGTGAGTGGAAAAGAGGTGAGTGCAGGCCGTGTTGGAAGAAAATGTGCCACCCAAAAGGTGGAGTTCCTTCTGCGTCAATGTCAGTTGGGAGAGAACAAAAAACAAGTCCCCTGTGGTGTAGTTGGCTAGCATTTCCGCCTGTCACGCGGACGACCCGGGTTCAAATCCCGGCGGGGGAGACCATACTTTTTAGTTGCCCTTGCTCTTCGTTTTTCCTGCCTTGGTGTCTGTCATCTTTTGCTGCTTCCTCTCCCTCTCCCTCTCTGCCTTCTTTGCTTTCTCCTGTACACCACCGTTACGCCACTGCTACTTCCTGGAACCATGCAAGGCTGTGTGCCTTGCAGTGTGGCCGGTGTAGTGTGCGATGGGTTTGCTTTCCTGCGTCCAACTCCACCATCGCCCCCCCCCACTAATTTTGTCCCCCCCCTGTAGGGCAGAGCCGTGTGGGCAGTGCACGCGCTTTGGTCTGGCCCACAACTGCTTCCGTACGCCCAGGCCCAGAGGGCGACCCCGCACCCGGCGAGCCCCCGCCGCTGGTACTCGGTCCTTTCTCTGGGCAACCCCCGATGGTCTTTGTGACATGTTCGTGCCTGCACAGGGACAGCCAGGACCATGGTGGATATCAAG